ATATAAATTAAATCGTTGTCTTCTCTCGTTAATTTGATTGTTCCTTTCCTTTTCTCTTTACAATAAAATTGGTGGGTCTAATTGGCCCACCACAAAATATTAAGGTAAGCCACGCTTTAGTGTCATTATGATTGACGTTTGGATCTAAAACTTGAAAGATTTAGTTGAAATTTATTTTTGGCGTCGATTTCCTAATACATACAATAAAGCCAGCAGTTGCAGTACGTTTTTTATATAGTTATTATTTTTTTATTTTTAATTCTTGTCATTTTTATTCAGCTGTCAACATAAAAACTACAAAAATCAAGAAAAAAGTTGCACATAAAGTCAGTTTTACATTTTATGTCAACCGAATGACAAATCGTCCAAAATTCCATGTCCGTACAGTTGGAGACAAAATACTTTGGTCGTCAATGTCACTTGAGTGAAATTTTCCCCATTTATCATAAATGTCATATAAATTACCTCTTACAACGGACATTTCGACAGAGGGGTTTACTCTAAAACAGGTACTAAAGTCTACTCTAAAGGAGGCACAAACAAAAGAACAAGAAAAACTTGTTAGTTAAAGTAATGAACTTTAAAAACATAATCAAAAGAACTTTTGGTCTAAACAAACAAAAATTAACAATTTTTTTTCAATTAAAAATGTTTTTTTTTTGAATTTTTTTGTAATGCTTTTAGTTTCTTAATTTTTGTATTTTTGTTATTTTATTTTATAATTTGGAATAAAAAGCTTTTCAATTTTTTTATTAATTTTGCACACCTCCTATTAAGGGACACCTCTCCACAAGGGACAATTTAAGATTCCCCATCGGTGTCCGTTATTGAGAGGTTTTACTGTATTATCGTGGCGAAATTTGTTTAATTAATAATAGGTGTAAATTTGTTGTATAATAAATTATTTTGTCTGATTATTGTTGCTATTTATTAAAACTCTCATAGATAATAAATAATCTTAGATCCCCACAAGGCACACATTTTTTCGAAAAAAAAAAATGGTCAGGTCTACTAAACTCCGGAGATTCGATAGAAGTACAATTCCAACGAAATTAGCTTGTTTTCTCATTTCACGTCAAATGTTTCTGCTTCTAGTTTTCTAATAATAATAACTGAAAATTATTATGCTAATTACATGATGAAGATGAC